CAGCTAGGCTGTGGTTCAGTTGTCTGCGGAGTGGTTGGGGATCAGCACAAAGGGATCTGTTTTAATGGATGTTCCATCCTGTAAGTGAAGACAGTCTACGCTGAAAGTTGAGAAGCTCGGTTTAATTGCTTTACCCTTACTGGGGATCATAACAGTGCATATCTTAAGAAACCCTATGAAGTTTCAAACAGACCACCCTGTAGGCAGTGGTTGAACACAACCGTGATCAGCACCGTGATTAGCTTGTACTTAAATAATATCTTAGGTAGGGTCTGTTTCTGAGGCTATTTTGTTCGCTTTCTGGGATAGCTTATATGAACCAGCTGGAGAAGGCCTTCTAACTTGGGCCTAGAACTAGGGAGGTTCTGATGTGACATTCGGTAAATCGTATGTGCATGCTATCAATACACATTAGCCGCGACGCTGGAAACAGAGGATCCGCAAGCCACTGAGGCCACTGAAAATTAACCCTCTGCTTCGAAGCTACGTCAACAAACTTCAAGGGAGAAGTGTTAGGCGGAATTCCACACGGATCCCGCTTTATCTCTCGCAGTCAGGTGCTGCTGCGGCCGAGAAGCCCATCCAACGCAAGATTGGCCGATTGGCTTGCCGGAATCAAGCCGAGATCTGATTGATCGAAAGTCTGGACACAACAGCCAATATTGATCCAATATTGTCCAAATGCCGGTTGCCAATGGCGCATTCAGAACGCGTCAGAATTTCCAGAAAGTTATTGCCGCTTACGCTACATATATGAAGCGCTGTACAAGTGTTCCTGACTTCGTTTTAGGTGTTAATATACCTTGTGCCCCTTTGGTGGTTGTTTCGAAGTGAATGCTAGCTTGGGAGGCTCAGACCGAAAACTAAGCTGAGGAAAATAGCGTTACAGCAGAGCGGCAATAAGATTAGTCCGACAATAGTGTCTCAGTAGTTAGGTATCACAAATTTCTGGGCGGATTGTTCTGGTTTTTAAAAAAATATGTGGAACTTATCTGCGATGTCCAACTAAGATGCATTATGTTGACCATCTATCAGGACTTTGACTAGTCTTATTTATCCCCCAGTAAAGCACATAAGTATCTGATAATCCCTGTTCACTTTGGTACCGACAGATTCAAACTCTGGACAGGCAAAACCGTGGTCAGCTTTCTGAGCTCAAGTTGAAATTAACTCGCCGTGTGAGAGAGGTGGAGAGTCTCAGTGAAAAACTACAACAGAAGCGAGCAATGCATAAGCGTGAAAAGGAAAAGTGGCGCTCCACCGAAAAAGATCTCGAATTTGTAAAGCAGAACACGGAGGATCAAATGAAAGCAGAGAATCGAATACTAGGTATGTGAGACTTAACTAAACCTCAAGGATACTTATGTGACGTTTTTAGTAGTCTTGCGAAATAACTGATATTTCATTTTGTATCTATGCACTGCAGCGCGGTGCCAACCACACAGGATATCCTTATCAAATGTTCATCTTATCAGATGAACCAAAATGCCCCTTACATGCACCTAAGCTGCTCGACAAACTCCTTCTACTGGTCTGATCAGTCTGAAACGGTAGTCGATTGCTTACAAATCATAACGCTTCTTAATCCTTAATGCGAAACACTAAATCTTATATAGCGCATTTATGAATAATCAGTGAGTTTCTTGCTGACGTTATAAAATCTGCTAACAGCTCATTCACAGATAGTGCTAGCCCAAGCTGTGAACATAGGGTAGTTATTTCAAGAGAGAATCTTTAAAGGGGGCATCACTTTCTGGGCAATTTCCCAAGCGAGCATTTCCGTCAGGTTTCAGTAATCTTTCTTTACTAGGCGGGGTCACCGATATCTTTCTAATGAGACTCAGAAGCACTCGCAAGCTTGGTTGAGTAGTCTAGTGTCGACAGTAGCTTTTCTTGAAGTGTTTGTGGGAGGGACTGGATGAATAATAAACCCACTGAGGGGAGGGGGCAAATTGCTAATCAGCCTATTACTAAGACCCTTGAGAACGAAATAATTTTGTTTCCATACAATTCTAGACGCCACATGTTACCAAATTCTGCATGGATGTGGGCGGAAATACTAGTGTCACACGTAAGTATTCCGTATTAGGACTTCTGGAGAAAGAGATTTTGAGGACAGTAAGAAATCGATAGCCATAGAATAGGCCAGTGTAACGACCACGTGAGAGAAAGGCAACGATTTGAGGCTATGGACACCGGGGGTGATAAAAAGTTCACCT